TTATATTTGGCATGAAACTTAGGATGTACTTATAAATTTATCAAATCAAATGCAACTCAGCTTAACGTGCAGTTGGCTTACATATGTTAGAGCCTAGGCAGAAGACTATGATGCCAGGCTTGCCAAAGCCACAGTCTACACATACTTGGTTTCATTAAAACGCTTAGTAAGGCTGCAGATTATGTTTGCTATATATATAGTTCAATTTACAACACATTCAAATGATAATGCACACACCATTTTAATTTCTGTGCTTTGTAATGAGACAGAAGGGTTTTCCTTTTTTTTTTTTTTGAGACAGGGTCTTGATCTATTGCCCAGGCTGGAGTAGCAGTGGCATGATTCTGGCTCACTGCAATCTCCATCTCCCAGGTTCAGGCAATCCTCCCACCTCAGGCTCCCGAACAGCTGGGACTACAGGTGCACACCATCACGCCCAGCTAATTTTTGTATTTTTTTGTAGAGGCGGGATTCTGCTATGTTGCCCAGGCTGGTCTTGAACTCCTAGGCTCAAGCCATCCTCCCAAAGTTCTGGGATTACAGGCATGAGCTAGTGCACCTGGTTCACCTTTTCTCTTTCTGAATGAGCTCAACTGGTAATAGATTTTCTCACTAGCTTGATTCAGCCATTCTGCAATATACACATATTTCAAAACATCATGTTGTACACCACAGATACATACAGTTTTCATTTGCCCATCTTAAAAAAAAAAAAACATGTAATAATATGAAAAAATAAGGTGGGTGGAGTGGCTCACATCTGTAATCCCAGAACTTTGGGAGGTTGACATGGGAGAATGTCTTGAGCCTAGGAGTTCAAGAGCAGCCTAAGCAACAAAGTGGGACCCTGTCTCTACAAAAAATTTAAAAATCAGCATGGTGGCATGCACTTGCAGTCTCAGCTACACAAGAAGGTTCGCTGAGCCTAGGAGGTTGAGGCTGACTTAACATGTTTGTACCTCCTGCACTCTAGCCCAGACAACAGAGCAAGACTCTATCTCCCAAAAGATAAAAAATATAATAAAATAATAATAATACTTTGTTAGCTGGTACCATAGAGTTGCTAGAATCATTAAAATACTCAAAACAAGAATTTGGAAATTATAACTTATAAGTGACTATAAGTCAGAATTCACCAAAAAATTATAAAAAAAACTTAAGATGTTAATATATTAGCTCAAGTCTTTATAGAAAAGGACATGAAATTAATATTCTACTATTAGAATATACTGGACAGAAAGGAAACATACATTAAATGAAAAGCTTGAGCTGCATTTGCTATTCTATTATTTCACCAAAATGAAAGGTAGAGAGAGGCTGAATGAAAAAGGAGATCAGAAGTCCGGACAGCTTAATAGCTTTCCTGAGTGTAAATTTCATCCTTATTTGAAATAAAATATAGAGAATTCTCAGAAACCTATGACAATTATTCAGATCATCTGCCTTTCTGAACTACAATCACTATTGCTATTCTCTACCAAAGCAGCTGCTGAAACACAGGCACCACATTTCATGGACTACTATAAGACAATGACAGTAAGAAAATCAAATTTTCATTATGTGACCGAGGAACTAAGCAGTATATTTTTCTTCCTAGTAAATAATTTCATTTTAAAATGAGAAAAACCTTTGCTGCTAAATTTTTTTATAAATAATGATTCAGAACCTTTACCAGCAAATGCTTCCTCCTTCTCTTTGAAGAAAGAACCAAGATATCACCGGACAGCTCTCAAAAAATGTCTAATGCTATAGACAACACAGTGCAAGAATGACATAATTACTAAAAAAAATACATTAACTTATACTTATATTCAAAGAGACAAGTGAAACAAATTTTGTTTAAAGTTGTTGGAAAATGAGCTTGTATTCATAATTAGATTTATTAAATGTTATAATACACAATCCCAGCTTCAGTTGAAAACTGCTGTGGTATCCTCAGCATATCTAAGAACAGTGGGTATCCAAGAGCAAGACCAAGGTATTGGAAATCTTCCTAGAGATGACAATATAAATCTACATTAACTATCTACTGTAGTAAATTACTTCAAGTAAAATCAGCCACTTAAAGAATGGTTGTTCTATAAACCAATACTACATATAATTAGAATGATAAAGTGGGGGTGTGAGCAGTGGAAAGACAAACTGTTAGGTTATAACTTAAAGGTTATCATTACTGTAGGTGAAAAAAATACACTTTCCATGTATTTAAGATACCACATAGACCAGGTGCGGTGGCTCACACTTGCAATCCCAGCACTTTGGGAAGCCCAGGCAGGCAGCTCACCTGAGGTCAAGAGTTCGAGACCAGCTTGGCAAACATGGCAAATCCCTGTTCCAACTAAAAATGCAAAAAAAAATTAGCCAGACATGGTGGCACGCATCTGTAGTCCCAACTACTTGGGAGGCTGAGGCACGAGAATTGCTTGAACCTGGGAGGTGGAGGATGCAGTGAGCTGACATTATACCACTGCACTCCAACCTGGGGTGATAGAGCAAGACTGCATTGCAAAAAGGAAAAAAAAAAAAAAAAAAAAGAAAGGAAAAGAAAAGAAAGGGGAAAAGAAAGGATACTACAAAACAGTTTAATTTCAAATGGAAAATGCTTCTGGAGGTTTACAGTCATGCATTGCTTAAAGATGAGGATATGTTCTGAGAAATACATTGTTAGGCAAGTTCCTTGTGTAAACATGGAGTGTGCTTACAAAAACCTAGATAGTACAGCCTACTATACACCTAAGCTATATGGTATAACCTATTGCTCTTAGGCAACAAATCTGTCCAGCATGTTACTGTAGTGAAACTGTAGGCAAATGTAACAAAGTGTTACCTGTGCATCTAAACACATCAAAACATATAAAAGGTATAGTAAAAATACAGTATCATAATCTTACTGGACCACTATCATCTGCAGTCTGCTGCTGACCAAAACACTGTGTTGCTGAGCAGTGCATGACTGTGCAGCAGGTCCTTGCTAACATCATTTCATTATAGCTTTGATGAGGAAAAAATTGGATTCCAGGCTGTGGCCACTGTTTGTATGGAGTTTGCATGTTCTCCCCATGTCTGTGTAGCTTTTCTCTGGGTACTCCAGTTTCCTCCCACATGCCAAAGCTGTGTACATTAGGTGAACTGGCGTGTTGAAATTGTTCCCATTTGAGTGAATGTGAGTATGTGGGAGTGCACCCTGTCAGCGAATGGTGTCCTGTTGAGGGCTGGGTTCTGTCTTGCACCCTTAGCTACTGGGATAGGCTTCTGCCACCCACTACCCTAAATCAGAATAAGTGGGTTGGAAAATGAATGAATGAATACAAGTTATCGTCATACAAATGCATATAAATGCTGCTCTATGGAAGTGTTTAGTGAGCCCACCAGATTTGTTCTTTTTGTTTTTGAACTGCATGGTAGTAGGAGGTGCTCCTTACAATTTTCACTTTGGAAACATTTATTCCTTGATTTAATCCACGACTATCACCATCATCACTCACTGATTCACTAAAAAAAGTGGGTAAATAATTATTTAACTTGTTTTCATTAATCTTTCTTAAATGTATGTACAGTTCACACTTACTTCAATGTTGAATATTAAAAGTGTTTTGGATCTTTATTTAGAAGTTTGGTGATGTTTTTGTTACCAGAATAGGCCATAGGAACTTCTTGTTTAGATCAATTAGCCCATGGTACAATTGGTTTAATTATATGCTGTTGTGCTGACATACTTTTCAAGAACCTATCAATGATGTTAAATGAGGACTTACTAATATGCACGTTGTTTGGGGGAAGAAAAGGAATAATATTAAGAGTTTTAACAACAATTTTTCAGTTCACAGGCCCTGGAAATTTGCTAATCCAATTTCTACCACTTTTCACAGATAAGGCAAAAACAGTTCTAAAAAGACAAGGTGACTTGCTCAAGGTCACAAGTAATAGTACAAACAACACTAGAATTCAGGTCCTAAGAATCCTTGGATGTTGTCGTTTTCCCTATATTAGGTGCTACGGATATGATATCTAGCATAAAAGCAAAGTAAAATGAGTTAAATTCAAACAGTTTAAAAGAAGGCTCTCAGAGCAGTGCAATATTAGCTACAAGCTACGGATTAAGCCCTTGAGGGCTAATATGTAGTAATGCAAGGTGTAAATACAATGTTCAGATTAAAATGATAGCTAACACTTACAGAGTAATTATTAGGTATCCAGTATTATTCCATAACCATTTTATATATTTATTTATTCTACCTATGAGCTAGATACAATTGCTTTCATTTTGCAAATGAGGAAAGAAGCTATAATAAAGCTAGCTAAATGATGGGGCCAGAAAACAAGAAAAGATTCCAAAAGAAACGGGGAAAAAAAGTTTCTTATGTACCTATTTTACATTCATGATCAAAATAAATATTTAAACATTCAAGATTATACATAATTTTAAAGGCAAGATATTTTAGATATATGCTATTTTTTTTTTTCCTTTTTTCCTTATCAGATTCCTCTGGTGAGAATTACTGGTTTTTACAAAAAGTTAGTGGTTAACTTAAGGGCATTCTTTTTTTACAAAAGCCTGTGATGCAGATCAGCAAAAGGCCATGTAAAGATCTATACAATAATAGGGAATGCAAGGAAATTTCAGTACATCTTCTCAAAACAGAAGAATAAACATTTCAACTTAAATAAGGTTTGCAGGTCACACGTTTTCTGTAAGTAAAACACTAAATCATCTGCTCTGCACTAAGACAAGCAACAATTACTTCAGATGAAAAGTTAACCTCAACTTCCTGTACTAGGAATAAAATTTATCTGTTTTAGGGCACACTTTGCACTAATTCTGTAACATGGGATAGATGGATAGATATACATCTGGATGGACAAATGGACTACAGTTATTTCTGAACCTACAGAAAATGATAATATATGGTTCTTAATTTTTAGAAGCTACTTTTATAACTTACCATCTTTTTCCTCTTATCTTGCTCTGTGGGTGGTTCTTCATCTTCTGTAACTTTTGGTTCCTCAAGATGAGACATCAACATACAGCTATAATAATTTTTTAAAAAACATGTTTTAAATAAATAAACAATGTCTATAGACACTTAATAAGTCCTTAAAATCACTAAGAACATGAACAATTTTATGTACCAAAATGTGAGAAAAAGACTAGATAATCTAGATTTAAAATTTAACAAAATTTTTGAATTATGAAAAGATATCTCACTATAAAAAGGGTCCCACTAAAACGTTTTAGAGCATTTTACTTGCACATTTAAGATAGTAATTATTTTTATTTTTTGAGATGGAGTTTTGCTCTTGTTGCGCAGGCTGGAGTGCAAAGGTGCTATACCAGCTGACCACAACGTCCGCCTCCCAAGTTGAAGTAATTCTCTTGCCTCAGCCTCCTGAGTAGCTGGGATTACAGGCATGCACCACCAAGCCCAACTAATTTTGTATTTTTAGTAGAGGGTTTCTCCATGTTGGACAAGCTAGTCTTGAACTCCCAACCAAGTGTTGGGATTACAGGAATGAGCCACCGTGTCCAGCCAAGAGTAATTTATAGGCAACTTCTGAAACAATGAAATATCAACTGACAAAGTAATGCATGTATACTCTTTATATGTTATTAAAAAATGACACAAACTCTTAAAATACTTCTTTTCCCCTAATTTTCACATCTACAAAGTTTTATACATGTAATAATTTAAACATCACAAACATATTAATTATGTGACAATCTATCTTGTGTTCCAAATGACATTACTGTGCTGTGAGAAACTTGTCCCTGAGAGCTTGTAATTTCTGGGTAGTTATAAACCATTTTATTTTTATTTTCTGCACCATGCTCTTTACCATTAGCAGAGATAACAGAAACAGTTTCCTGTTCAGTCAATATTGGTTCCAGGGAGACCAGAAATGAACACTATCTAGTGAATCAAACCGATGGAACAAACCCCACTGTTTACTGATTTGTAACAGAAGAATTCAGTAATTTATCAGCATGATTACAGGTTCTTAACAAATAAACTGTGGCAAAGACAGTTTGTTTTGTAGCAAGTATAGGTGAAGGATAATTCCTGACTCAGCTGTGTAAATAGCTTTTAATATAGAATTAAAACACAGGTGCTGATACTAGAAAACTTGAACAGGCTTATTTTTGCAGTGGAAATGAGTGTCCTTCATTTCTATTTCCTACCATTAACAAAAACAATGTTTGGGCTGGGTGTGGTGGCTCATGCCTGTAATCCCAGCACTTTGGGAGTCCGCGCTGGGCAGATCATAAAGTCAAGAGATCAAGATCATCCTGGCCAACATGGTGAAACCCTCATCTCTACTTAAAAAAAAAACAAAAAACAAAAATTAGCTGGGTGTGGTGGTGCACGCCTGTAGTCCCAGCTACTCAGGAGGTTGAGGCAGGAGAATCGCTTGAACCCAGGAGGCGGAGGTTGCAGTGAGCCAAGATTGCACCACTGCACTCCAAAATGGTGACAGAGCAGGGGGAGTTTGGAGTGACTGCCTCTGATCCAGTCAGTGCCTACTGGTGTGATCAAAGAATAAAAACCTTAGGCTAGAAATAAGAAGTCCCTGAAAAACAGCAAGAACCCAATCCCTAACTTGCCTCGACCTCTTGGGGCTGCAATGCTTTTGTCTGCCATGACATAATACGAGTATGGAACAAGTAGCTGGCCAGTAAACTCCATCCGACACAAAGTGAGACAATTACATTATTCTAACAAGCCAAAAGCTAAAAAGGTCTACATCCCAATTTGTATTTTAGAACTGAATAGTAATATGGGGTTCTTTTACACTAGCCAGTTTGTCTGTTGCAGATTTGAATTCTAACTGCAACGATCATGGATCTGCATGAAAGCATGCTCTATTTTGCATCAAATTCTTCCACTGTATTCCAAAATCTGTTAACTTACTCATATGGTGAATGCTCTCTGTTTTGCCTTCCCTAAATTAAAAGATTTATCATATTAAGGCCAGGCATGGTGGCACACACCTGTAATCCCAGCACTTTGGGAGGCTGAGGTGGGCGGATCACTTGAGTTCAAGACCAGCCTGGGTAACATGGTGAAACCCCTTCTCTACTAAAAAAAAAATACAGTAACTAGCCAGGCATAGTCGCAGGTGCCTGTAACCCCAGTTACTTGGCAGGCTGAGATGGAAGAATTGCTTGAACCTGGGAGGTGGAGGTTGCAGTGAGCTGAGACTGCACCACTGCACTCTAGACTGGGTGACAGATCGAGACTCCATCTCAATCAAACAAATAAAAAGATATATTAATATTGGAGCATATTCTGGAGATACATACATACATATTTTGTTTCTTTCACTGACCAAAAACTAGACAAAAAACAGTATTTGAAAAGCCCAAAGCTAAAACTGTCATGCAGAAAAATTTTCAATTAAAAGTCAAATCTCGTTTTGTTGACAAAGATTAAAGATAGACAATCATGTTTTACATAAAAGACATGTAAAAATTTCTAATGAACTAAAATGTGTAGACTGTGCATGCATTAATAGTTATGCTAAAAACAGTAAACACAACAGTTTAAAATAGGAATGACTAACATGAATATAAGTGGCCACTCCTCCATTCTAAACTCATGGCAGAAATCACCAAATAGATCTAGGCACTCCAGTCCGCTAAATAAAAATCTTTCTCAAGAAGAAACTCAACCAGCTAAACAGAACCAACAGGTGTTAGCATGAAAAAATAAAGCCTTTTAAATCATTTCTGGGTTTAAAAGATACCTGAAGTAATACCTTTCATTTAGTCTATACAAACTCTGCCCTAAGTAGTTCAGCCATTTTACAGATGAGAAAAGGCTGAATTTACAAACATTAATTGGGCACTGATAAATAGTATTTTACCTCAAAATTTTTGTAGTTTAAATGAACTTTTCTCTACTTCAGGGTATCAAAATTGGATGCTTTCAATTTGCTCTTATTCCAGCACCTGAACAGAGTCTAAGTGCATCTGTCTACAAAAAGCTTAGTTCCACTCTACCTGCAGCCCATCTGTTTACACAGGAGGGATAGCTGGGGGCAAAGTCCAAGTATTCAAGTCACTTTCTTGATGTCCAATATCAGCGATTCTCAAACTTGAGCTTTCAACTCAACCACCTGAAGGGCTTTGTTAAAGCACAGCTTGTTGGGCCCCACTCCCATAGTGTCTAATTCAGCAGATTTTGATGGAGCCTGAGAATCTGCATTTCTCACAAGTTCCTCTGTGATGCTTTCTCATCATTTCCCACATAATGTTAATGCTGCTGTTGTTGTTGAAGAAGTTGTTGGGGGCACACATTTTGTTAATCACAGTCCTGTGTTAGGCCAAACCACCCAAAGTGCTTCCTACTTATATTTTTTTTATGTCTGGCTTCCAATAAATTGACTTTAATAATGATTTTTTTTTTTTTTTTTTTTTTTTTTACTGCTATGTAACTGACTTTCAACTAGGCTGATAAAAAAAATGATTTATGGGCCAGGCGTAGTGGCTCATGACTGTAATCCCAGCACTTTGGGAGGCTGAGGTGAGCAGATCACTTGAGGTCAGGAGTTTGAGACCAGGCTGGTCAGATTGGTGAAACCCCATTTCTAATAAAAATACAAAAATTAGCCAGGCGTGGTGGCACATGCCTGTAATCCCAGCTACTCGAAAGGGTGAGAAGAAAGAACTGCTTGAACCTGGTAGGCAGAGGTTGCAACGAGCCGAGATCATGCCACTGCACACCAGGCTGGGCAACAGAGCGAGACTCCAGCTCAAAAAAATAATAACAATAAAGATAATAATTTATGGGTTGCTTCACATATGACAAAACAGACACTATTCAGTTGGTCTCTATAGTGGGCACTTCGCTTGCCTATTTAATCAGCCTCTTTCTTAACTGAGCCCTGAATCTGTCCAATTATCCTCTTCTTCCACGCTACCACTGTTTCAGAAAAAGCTGATCCCATCCCCAATGCCAGTGGTTCAATAAGTAATCATGGAACTCCCATTTCCCTGGTCAACGATTACTTTCAGCAGGGGCATGTTTAAGGAATTCTGGCCAATCAGGCATAAGAAGACGTCTAATGCAATCATTTCCAGGAAAAGTTTGCTTTGATCTTTAAAAAGACATGAGGAGGAAGATTACTTATCTGTCACGGGCAATGCCACAAACTGTAATGCCTAAAACTACTTTTCATTGATAAGGGATGGTAGCCTGCAGATGAGGTTAATGTGCTGAGGGGATGGGGTAGAAAAAACCTGGGGTTTGATGATGCTGCTAAGGCCACAGTGAGCTAATCCTGCAGTCACTTACCTACAATCATTAGGTTATCAGAAACAACTAATTCTTTATTGTTAAAACGGAAAGCCCTTTAACAGGGTCTTATATAAATACCTCATGAAAAATGCATTTCTGGGCTCAGGGCATGACACTCCAATGAGAATAAATATAATTATGAGTCTCTCTCTCCTGTGTTAAATATTTAGCCTAAAGTTTCCTCCTCACATATTTTAAGTTCAACCTGAAGGTCTCTCTGTACATAGCAAAGTGTAACCTAACTGGAAGTGTAAAGAGACTGTAACCCACTCTTGTACCAGTCAGAGTTTCACAGGTGGCTGACTGTTGAAACCATGTTCAAACAAGGCAAACGCAGAGCTGTAACCAATCTAGCTGTTTCTGTACTGTTTCCCTTTTCTGTACCTCACCTTCCCTTTCCTGCTCATAAATATTATCTTGACCAGGTGTTGCCCTGAAGACACTGTGAACCGATTCTGGTTCTGGGGGCTGCCCAATCTGTGAACAATTACTTGCTTAATAAAACTCTTGTTAAATTCTTATTAAAATCCCTTCAATCCTGTGTTAATAGTTTTCTGTTATAATGAGCACGTGCTTTCTTATGCACTGTCTCCAATCCTCTTACAGTCACTAGACTGAATATAAGCAACTAAATACTGTATATTAGCAGTAAAGACAAAGTGCCATGAAGAAACAGGGAAAGATGCAATGATTCTTCCTGTAAGTCTGGAATGCAATTTTAGCGGTAGATAT